TCGAATAAATCTGTGTCCAATAATTTTGTGTCCAATAATTTGGTGTCGAATCGATCGGTGTCGAATCGTACTGTGGTCAAACGGAACACGCCCATACACATTTAATCAGTTGATTACTTTAAGGTAATTACAAGCGGAGCCGGAATAAATCAACAGATTACCTTTTATTGATATGGAATAAAACGCGGATTGTTTACCGGCAAGGTGGCTGTATAATGCCAATAGAAATTATTTACTGGAATAAGCTTTTTCCAACTTCTGATTTCTTTCTTAATTGTAAATTCTTCATTTGCGAGTATAACCGGATTTCCGATGTCCTTTGCACAGGGCGGTTGACTTACTGTATTTTCCACCCACGCTATTACGCGACGCCAACGTTGAACTCGCCACCCAAATCTAACAGCAAGTTTATTTTGCTTTGACATCTACAATTAAGAAGTAATTAATTTATTACACTACGCGGCGCGAAATTACCGATACGCACTGAACTGTATTATTTCTGGAAAAAAGCACAGTTTAATACCTTGAGTGGAATGCGCAGGTTAGCGCGTTTCTTTTCTCGGTCGCACACAAACAAAGCACTTGAGACGGTCGTCTGGACGGACGGCGCCACTTTGTCGGGAGACGCGGCGTCCTCCAAGATGGCGGTACCTACGTCAACGGGACGCGGCGACGCCGTGGACGAGAAAAAAAAAAGAAACGCTTCAAGATGTGCAGGTAAGCGCGTTCCTGGAGCACCGGGGTATTGAAGATGCGCTGTTCGAGCGCTTCCTCTCAGGAATTTAGGAACTTAAAATTATATTGAATGCAAAAATTACTTAGGTGCAACAAAATAAAGCAGATATAACTCGATTAAGATAATAATATAATATTTGGTATATTCTTAACATAGCAACTTGCATGTAATTATTACAATAATTATTAACGATTCGAGTGTGATTGAGATATTACTCGAACGTAGAACGAGTTGTGTCACTTTAATATGAAAATAATATTAAAACTATACTATAACTGGCTTAATAATATGAAAGTGACTTACAATATAGCTTCTTCTAAATTCTACGCAGTATGAATAAATGTTGAATGGACCCGCTCATTGGGATGAGATTTTAGGATGTAAACTTGGAGGTTGACCCGTTGATTGTCGGCATGTAGAATGACCGCTTGGTCGGAGGTAGAAAATGTCTGACTTGTTGCTTCGAGATCCGTGAAAGAACTGCGCTCGGCTTGGCTCCAGAGCGAAGAAGTCGGGCCAGCTTGCTAAGAGAGGCAGTGATGGGGAGCGGCCGGCGCAGTGTTGGTAAGAAGGACGCTTAGGCGCGGTTTGAGGATTAAGCCGTGTTCATGCAAGTACGGCAGAAAGGATCTAGGAGAAAGTTGTCCGGAAAAATAGATTTCTATTGTTCGGAGCAAATCCAACGGAAATTTTAGTGTTAAAGTGTGTTTTAGGCGTACAGACGGCGTCATAAATTCAAAGAATAGGCGCGGGGATCACATAAAAAGTCTAGTTGATCCAAATATCCATTAGTCCCAATATCGGGTGTCCACTTGTGGACTTATCGTGATTACGTTGGGGCGCTAGAAGATTGCGTCAGCGGGCGAGAAGAACGATACGAGTTCCCGTCGCGTCCCGTCGCTGGCCGACGCCGGGATAATTTTCTCATCTAGCCGCGCAAAATATCGCTCCTATTACCTACTATATAATTGCAATCTGCCGTCAACGGGCAACTAAAAGTTCGTGGCTAAAATCGCGCTACCTACGGCAAACAAACCGTCCACGAGTTTCGTCATTTTTGTCGTTGCGCCGTGTATGCGTGCCGCGATAGCCGCGTGCCGAAGACCGGCCCCAAGCATAGTGTACGACATCTGATATTGTAAACAAGCGGAAGGCCGCTACACTCACAAGCTGTCGCAACTAACTACATTCTTTGTTAACCTGTTTATCATTTAACTGAGCTGAGTTTCTTTCTCGTTCTAAGCCTAAAAGCCGCCTCCCGAACCCCCGCCTTTCCGTTTCAGATTTTGAGCTGCCGTGAAGCACACTTTTGGTGGAGAAATTGCCGTCACGTCTGGCTAAATTGGTGAATTCATTGTCTTGTGTTTGTGCGGCATGATTCTCACGCCTGGCGCCCAAGTTTTGTTCATAGACTCTTTCGAGTAAGCCAAGGACGTGCCGAAGGTGTGTGTGACGCTCTCGTACACCACCCAAAACGGGAGCAACAAAAATAAAAATACAGTTGCTCACAATATATATATATATATATATATATATATATATATATATATATATACACGGTGGACCACTTTAATCTCAACAGCCATATATCTCAATTTTTATACATGCTTTGGAAAACTGGTTCAGACAAAAGTTGCTTGGAATAATAGGGGCCAACTATCTGTGCAATCAGATTTGACCTTGACAATAAATGTCAAGGTCATTTCAAGGTCAAAACGTTTTTTTCTTATAAAAACCCATATTTTTAAAACCGGATTCGAAAAAAGCGGAACTTTTTACGTCCAGATACGTAACTAAGTTCAACATTAACGTGACTTTCATAGGTCAAATAAATCCCTAAAAACCAACCCTGCTAAACCACAAGTAGGCTAACCCAATAGTTAGGTTAATCTAAAGACAAGCAGGCAACCCTATAACCACCAGTAAGGTTCCGCAAAGGTAAAATTACAGCGATCACGTGGTTGTAGGATTGCCTGCTCGTCTTTTTTTTTTGTTATTGAGGGAAAATGCGTTACGTATACCTGGCTCTTCGGGGGAAGAAACCAGGTTATGTGGGACTCCTGTCAAAGAGACAGTATACCCACTAAAACCCCTCGGTGATCCTTGCGCACTAAGAGGGAGGGTGGCTGCCCTAAAGGCACTTACACCTCCCCTCACTTCTTTGTGCTGTAGCAGCGGAATTCCGCTGCTCCTTCCGCTGGATGTCGGAGGGGGGAAGAAGACCGGATCACCTTAGCCTCTCACCCCTACTACTGTGCGGGCGGCGTGCAATGGCCGAGAGTGGCCCCCGCCACTCCCTTCCTGTCGCCCGCATCCCGCCCTAGTGGTCCAATTCCCTGCTCCCCCTCCCAAGAGGAGGATAGAAGACAAAGAGAGGAACAAGCTCTCCTACTCTGGTGCCGGTGCACCCATTGATCGCCAGGTGGACAAGTCTACCAATGCAAACCAATAACACTATGGAGGGAGGCGCTGGCCCTGGCGCACCCTCTCTGCCTCCTCTTTCGCGGACATTACTTTTTCGCAAAATGCGAGAAAGGCCCGTTAACTCTCTTGATCCTCTATTATCCACATAACCACGGATGATAGGGACAAGTTTTGCCCAATCACCGAAGTGAGCAGGATCCGCTCGCACAACCACGCCGGACATTCGGCTAAGGTGTGATCGGCCGTGTCCGTCGTTACTCCCCTACAGTAATTGCATAGGGGGGAAGAAGCCCTACCTATGCAATGGAGAAAATGATTAAAAACCCCATAATCAGATATGATTTGGGTGGCTCTAAAAGAGAGAATAGCCCTCCTACATTCCAGCTATTGAGCTAAAACCGGCTCAAAGGCTGTGCGCTTCCGTTGACCGGAAAGAGCATCATTCCTAAGGCGCTCTTGCCATGCATCTATTGCGTTGCGTTTTGCCTGATCTCTAAAATCTAGCATCTCTCCTGCTAGATTTAGGCGTTCTTCTCTGCTGCCCCGGCGCGAGAACTCGAAAATTCAAGCCTGCTTTTCTGCCTGCAGCTCAATAGGCATTACCCGGACTAATACGCGGACTACCTCTCTAGACACGGTATGATAAGCGCAAACAATACGAGCGGCCACCAACCGTTGCATCTCTGCAAGCGAGCGCAAGGCTCCCCGCACCTGCACTTTTCAATGCCAAACCGGTGCCCCGTAGAGCATCACTGAGTGGACAACCATGGAGTACAGCCGCCGGACCCGCGTGCTTGGTCCACGCAGGTTTGGCATTAAACCCGCCAAGGCATTAGCCATGCGAGTGGCCTTTTCCGACGTCCGGCGGAAATGCTCACAAAACTTCCATTGATTGTCCACCCACAGGCCGAGATATCGCATGTAGGGCCGAGACAATACTACAGTGTGCTCCACCATTACCCGAACCGGGTTATTCCCTCGTTGGGCTCTAGGTCTAAAAGCCACCACCTCTGTTTTGGATAGAGCAAGTGACAGGCCCAGATGTTGCATGCGTCGAGCAATAACAGCGACAGCGATGGAGGCCAGATTCGCTGCCTCTACATCCGTACTCCCGCGCGCAAGGACGAGAGTGTCGTCCGCGTAACATACGAGGGAGCACCCGTCTGGGAGACCCCTCCGCAGCACGCTATCGTACCCAAGATCCCATAGGAGTGGCCCTAACACCGACCCCTGCGGGACCTTACACGACACCCGACGTGAGCGNAAGCGTCCATCCGCGCACGGGAACACTATCTTCCGATGACTCAAATATGCGTCCAACACCCCTTNCAGATAGACTGGGAAATCCCAGTCCAGCGCTGCCTGTCGTATGCTGTTCCACGACAAGGTGTTGAACGCATTCCGAACATCCAAACTCACCGTCACGCAGGTTGCCCTCTCTCGATTATAACGCTCCACAGTTTCCCGGAAGCGCAAGACTGCATCACACGTAAATAGGCCCGCACGAAAGCCATACTGGCTCGGCGTGAGGCCCCCACGCTGCGAGATATGTCCCTCAATACGGCCCACGAGTATTCGCTCCAATAATTTGCCCAGCTTGTCTAAGAAGCACAACGGCCTATACGACGTAGCCTGGGCCCCCGGCCTTGGGAATCAGAACGAGGCGCGCACATCTCCATATTAGGGGAAAGGCCCCCTTTTGTAGGCAGTTGTTATAGCAGCGCCTGATGTAAAGAGGGGCAACTGCTGCCACACGGACAAGGACCGGACACGTTATTCCGTCCATTCCTGGTGCCTTACGGCGACTGGCTATCCTCTTAAGGGCCGCTGTCATCTCGGCAGCGGTGATATTAAATTCCGGGTTCCATGGAATCTGGTCCCGAGGTTCGTTACCCGCGACCTCCCGCACCGGGAACAAGTCGCTCACAGCTTCCAGAACCTTTTCTACCTCTAGAGTCTCAGTTATAGAGGGACCAGCCGCTCGCAAGCGGGACAGAACAATCCGGTATAGAGTGCCCCACGGATCGTTATTCAGGGTAGTCATAAGACCAGCCCATGCCGTCTTTTTCGCCGCCAGAATAGCGCACCGAAACTCGCGCTGAGCCTCTCTCAGCGATATGCGCAGGGCTTCCAGGGCCTCAGTTCCAATTCGTCCGCGTTGCCGTGCACGCGTGTACCGCCTTCGCCACAGGAGGCATGTAGACCGCATCCTGGCCAATTGCGGTGTCCACCAGTATGCGGATTTTCTTCCAGCCACACCTCGAATTCTTGGCATGGACACGTCACAAGCATCAGTTATGACGCGGGTGAGCCATGCGGCTTCGTCGTCTGGCGGGGTTGCAGGGGTAATGGAATCGCCCCATACTCCCCCCCCCCCAACACAGCCGCTTCGAACGCGTCTAAGTCCTACTCTTTATAATTCTATCTGTTAAAATAAACACGATGGATAGTGGGCGCGCCTCTACCTCCCGTACGTACGCCGAACGTTATGTATCGGTGGTNCGATAACGATTCTGCCGGTAACACGCGCCACCCTGATATTAATGAGTACACGGTCGGAGAACCCCAGGACAAATCCACAATAGATCTGCCCTGGGAGCGCACACAAGTTGCTCCCCGTCCAGTATTTAAAATGCGCAGCTCGTGTGCCGCGGCCCATTGCTCCACCATCTGGTCCCTGCGATTCGGGCGGGAGGAGCCCCAGGATATCGATCGGGCATTAAAATCTCCCAGCACGAGAACGGGGTCTTCACCCGCTCGCCGTATGCTGTCGCTGAGAGCTTCCAGCGAAACCTCAAACTCTTCTAACAAAGAGTTGGGGGAGAAATAACAACTGTAGAGCGTTATGTTCCCCCATTTAACCGCCACGTATCCGTGGCCTTTGTCCACCACTTGCTGCACGGCCATGCTCCCAAAACCAGGGATCCAGGTGATGGCAGCGAGGCCGTCCAAATCCCCGGCCCACGTCGGAGAATCCGGAACGCGCCATGGCTTTGATACAGCCATAATGGCTGTCTTTCTCTCCCTCATCATGTGCGTGGCNAGATGCTGCGCAGGACCACTTCTATTAGTGTTTATTTGGAGAACTTGCGCCATTGTCGGCATCGATGTCCATACGCTCTCCTCCTTGGGTGACCGCCGCCGTCCTCCGCACAGCCCTAGTTCTCAAAACAGGGGAGGGGGGCGAGCAGGAATGTTCATTCTCCCTTGCATCCGGGATGGGCATGACTCGCCGCCCGCTCGATGTCCCGCCATGAGACCTCTAGTCGCACACGGTATGCAATGGGCGGCGTTTTTGCAGTCCCGCGCGACATGGTCCTCTTTGCCACACCTATAACAAGCCTTGCTATGATCGACGTCACTGGTACACGCTGCCCGAACATGGCCAAACTCCATGCACCTGAAGCATTGGAGTCGCCTGCCCNGTAGCAGCGTGGCCCTGGCTATAGTCCACCCGACTCTAATTTTCCCCGCTGCAGCAACCTTCTCGGCCACCGGTAGCGGGCATCTCACCCAAATGGAACCGGTTCCTGCGCGCGTTTCGCGAAGTACGCCCATACGTATCTCCTCAGGGGGACACGCTCAAAAATCCTCCGACGCAATGGCCTCTTTTATTTCAGAGACATCTATGCTGGCATCCAAGCCTGTTAGGCGGAGCTCGCCCTGCTGTACCGGACGTGTGACCACCGCTTTTCCCTCTAATACCGGAGTCAGAGCGGAAACGAGACGCTCCGCTTTAACTGCTCCTTCAGGGCCCGGGATCTCCACAAGTATTCCGCCTCCAACGTCGCGTTGTACCCGCGTGTTCGAGATCCCGAGTTCCTTCAAGGATACCTTGTCCTTAGCGGCTCGCATAATATCCGCATAAGGGATATTGCTGTCCTGAGCCCGTCCGATGGCTACGGCTGCCGCTCTTCGGCGTCGACGACGACGTCCTCTACGAGGCATAGGCGGAAAGACCTCTGGTCCCGTCTGCTGCTGCGACCGCTGAACGCGCGTCAGCTGTGGCCGCTGAGGTGGGGATAAAAATGCTCGCCCAGTTCTCTCCGTTCGGAGGACATCCTCCCCTGCAAGCTCTCTCTCTCTCTCTCTCTCTCTCTCTCTCTCTCTCTCTCTCTCTCTCTCTCTCTCTCTCTCTCTCTCTCTCTCTCTCTCCCTTAACGCAGGATTTTTGCGGGTGCTGATTCCCGCCTTATTTACACCAAGCTTGCGCGAGCAAGCACTGCTGTGCTTGACCACGGTAGCCCATTCAGGCTCCATGTCTCTTGTTCTCTCTCTCTCTCTCTCGTTCTCTCTCGCCTCTCCGCAGAATGTCGGACTCCGCCGGAATAGCCCCTCGACAATCAAGGCGGGTAGAGGCGCGGCCTACACAGTCCTGTAGAACCGGTGCTTCTGTGCTCTCCGGATCAAGGAGAGTCACAAGACGGCACAGCACATTTTAAATCCCGGACATCCGCCCTTCCAGGGCAGAGATACGTTCCTCCATTCCGGCTTTACCAGGGAACTGGGCCGGTAGATGGGACTCGAGTGTCCGTGGTTTGCCCTGTGTAGGCTGGCGCTTCGGTGGGACCTTTACTGTCCCAGGTGGAAGCGCTGTAATCGACGTGATCACCGGAGTTGATTCTGTTTGTACTGCGCTCTCGCGCATCCTCTTCCGCTGGGGGAGTAATTCAACTGCACTGAGTTCTTGTTTTGCCCATCTCACCTCTCTCTCCAGCTCTGTAATCCGTCGTTTATATGTAACGATGTCATTCATTAGCTGAACGTTCAATTCACTCTCTTTCTCTCTCTCTTTCTCTCTCTCTCTCTCTCTCTCTCTCTTCGCCGAATGCCCCCTCTTCTATTGAACGTTCGCCGAAAGCCACAGCCGCCCTACGTACTGACAAGGCAATGGTCTTGAACAGCCGGACATATCCTCCTTTGAGATTTCTTTTTTGTATGGACTTCAAGTGAGTCCATGCCGCGCATTATGTGGCTGATGATCTGCGGCCCTGTAAGTGGAAAAAAATCGTCAACGTCGGAGAAGTCCTCGGGCTGGCTGCTAATGCTGCTTGTTTGCTTAGCCAATTGCTGTGACCTACACCGGTTTTTTGTCACCTTGGCTTTGGTACTCTCCGATGACGTAGAGGGACCTCGACCCACACATGTTTGCGGCCTCTTAAAGACCGCTGGACGCTTCTGAGAAAGACCGCTGGCGTCGCCCGTTTGGCCACTGAGCGTTTTATCCGCGTCTTTATCTGTTCCCGGCAGCGTACCCATGGCTCCGTCCATGGTTTTGTTGTCCTCTGATGATAAGGACCAACTTGTCAGCGACTGCGTTATATTCGGCGTCGCAACCGTTGCCGACAACGTTTCTGACGCCGCAAGGGACGGGCCTCCCCGTTGCTGCGTTCCTTCCTCATCTGCAGTAGCTGCGGAAGCCGCGGCGCCTGCATCGCACGCCACGGCTAACCCTTCTCCTGATGTCGACAGTATGGGAGCAGGGTCGGAACTCCCAAGCCGCCGGGACCTAAGCGTCCGTTCGCTTTGGTCCGGTACGGTATCTTTCTCCTGTGATGTGGGCTCCATCATGGTTGTTGGGGGTGGTTTGATTTCGGAGTTTACCGTCTCCTAGGATGGCCCCCGGCCAAAGGTAACGATTCCATCCTGCCCGAGCTTGGAGTCAGTGTTGTCTTTCACCTAGTCCAGTGTCCGTCCCGGTATCGACTTTCGGAGCTGGACGGCCCGGATTTGCAGTCAGAGTTTACTCCCCTAGTCCGATTGCGCCGTGGCTGACGGAGACGGACACCCCGGATTTGCAGTCAGGGTTTTCTCCCCTATCCCAGTTGCACCGGCAAGAAGTGCTAAGCGAGGCTGAGAGCCCCCGATTTTTGTTCAAGGTTTTTCTTCCTTTATTTCCTCTCTTAGTGCAAGAGCTCCGCAAAGGGCCTTTCTGGCATGGGTGACCCTGCTAAGAAATCGAAGGATTCCCCGCCAGTATAGCTCCCTCGCTTCACCGCTCCTAAGCCCGGACACCACGACAAGGTGGAGGAAAATCGTTTGGGAAAAAGTGATACAGGCCTCATCTCTATCTATAGAGAGAGGCCTCCATCCCGATGTCTCCCCCTATTTTCCTACGCCGAGAGGAGACCTTAACATACACTACTTCAATCCCCGGAACACGTTTCCAGGGATATGATAGGCGCACGCGTGCTGCATTACGGTAGTTTATAGTGAAGCGATGCAGTGCTCTCACTCAGCGGACGCTTGTATTGATGGCCAGACCGCTCATATTCCGTGCGTCACTCGACGTGTGCCCCTGACACTACCGTGCGCCTCTTGCGCGGTGTCCCCGGCACACGGCGAGACCTCCACCTCCCGGCGAGGTAAGAGATGGAGAGCTAGCGATTCCGGGCGCCTCCGGTGGCTCTACCAAACCACCGGCGCGACCGGAGACCGGCAACAACACAGGAGTAAGCAAGCCCAAACCACCGGTCAAGCCATGCTAGAAATTCGGAAACATTTCGCCATGCTGCAAGATGTCTCCGGCCGCGGGCCGTTCTCCGATTGTTTATACAGGGTGAGACGGATCCCTGTCGTGGTCACAATACCCTTCCAGACCGGTCTTTCCGGTTCTCGTGACCTCTACTCGTGTCCCTGCTTCCGAGTTTTTATACAGGAAGAAGCAGACTCCTGTTGGAGAATGTGTGGCATCGTGTTCTCCCCGCATGTTCGGGTAGGAGAACAAGTGCCTATCCACTCTCCCCTACTCGTATCGCATCTCCGAGTTTTAGACTAGGCGGAGTGCGCACCCCTGTTGGCCGGTGTGTGACGTCGGAGTCCCATGTTCCGGGATATCCGCATCTATCGGGTGATACTCTATTGACCACAGTACGATTCGACACCGCTCGATTCGACACAGATTTATTCGACACCAAATTATTCGACACCGTACGA